ACTTTCATTAGCAGGTGCCACCGAATAATAACTGTACACAGAATGCTTTGGGATGTTTCTTGCTGGGATATAACAGATTTGGGGGTGTCAGTAATACAAAGACCCAGTTAGTGTTGATGGTCAAATGCGTCCTAGTCAAACCCTGTGTGTGGGTGTGACCTGAGCATTTGAACACAGGGAAGAGAGTCCCCAGAGGAGGCTCCTTTGCAGTACAGTGCCCCCCCCCTGGGGGGGTGCCACCTATTCTTGCTAAGAGAGTGCCTGTTCTGAAAGGGCCCTCTCCTAGCTGACCATTCTTCACTACAAATGTCCAGTGCCAGGGAGGACACAGAACTCAAGGTTGATGGTGAAGATGTGAGTTTTCAGGATGGTAAAGCACCCCCTGCACACAACCCCCCCACCCGCCCGCCCCGCAGTTGAGCTGATGGTATGGGTCCAGAGCCTTTAAGGTAGTTTCATTRAAAGGTGGCATTCATTCATTGAAAGGTGCATTCAGTAAAGGATGCACAGAAGACAGTTCATTGAAAAAATTCTGGCTTTGTGTTGCTGACACCAGAAGGTGGCCTTGTGCTTGTCACTTCCTGTGGCTGAACTGTGAGAGGCACTTGAGTGCACCCAGGAGTAAACACAGGTCCAGGCCGTCCAGAAAGGCTTCCTGTGCTCACGGGCACTCTCTGGGATGCTGCTGCTTCAGAAATCATGGGTGTCCCCAAGTAAAGATTTGCTTTACTTTTTATGGAATGGACTCTTGTGAAATAAAATTTGTTGTTTAAATGCAAACAAATAGACGAGTTTTCCTCACGATGCCTGTTATTGAAATTTCATAGCACATTTTAATTTCAAGAAGGTRGTATTTTTTCATAAGAAGTTGTCATCTTGAAGAAGATTCCGGAAACTTGCCTGTGCCACACTTAATGCGGGAAACGCGTGGTTTTGGTTTTGGCCGGTGGTGGTTGTGGTTGCTGTGTTTGGTTTCAGTTTGAGGCAGAGATGCTGGGAGCTGCAGCCATGCCGACGGCTGCACAGGGCTGGCTTGGCTGTGCGCTGGGAGCCCTGGGCTCTGAAGCAGTCGGCTACAGATGTGAGGAAGCTCTGCCTGTCAACACAGCRGCTTAGCTTGTCGCTTGTGGGGACTCCATGAAGCAACCTGGGTTGGTCAGAAGTTATTTCTCACTGATCAGCAGGGTTCACTGTCGGGATGGGATTCATTTCTTAAGGGAATGTTCCAAGTGCAGTAGGAAGCAAGGAATGCACCCTGGCCAGCTTACCACGCCCTTTTCTCTTCTTCAGGGACAACCCAGCAGCCCCCTCTTGCCCAAGTGTGGTGAGGGGAAACTAATGAGGTCCCGGGGTTTCAGGGAGGTTTCCGCCTAAATTGTGCCTTCACCAGAGCCTTTCATCCCTAGTACCTTGTGCCCAAGTCACCCCCTCACCCAAGACACACACACACACACAGTCTGCTGGGATGTCTCAGGTGCCAGGCCAGTTTGTGGACACCTTTTTGAGAGCAGTTGCTGGAGAGTCCGGGCAGAACTGGGTTTGAACGCCTCATTACTGAACCATGGCCAAGTTTAACATTGTCCTCCTGCATTCTGAATTCATAAAAGRAAGTGGACAGTCCTTCTCTGGAGCATGCTGTGCTCAGTCTTGTTCATTGTGTGCCTGCCCTGTGATGGCCTCTCCTGCCCGGGCACAGTTGGCATGCCTTGTCTGGAGGATGGCCCCCAGGACTGAAGGGCCGGGTGAGGACTGAGGCTCCCTCCGTCAGGGCTGCTCATCCTGCTCTCCTGGCARCCCGGAGAGTCTTGGCCTGGAAAGAAGGGAGGGGCAGGAGCACCTTTCCTCGGAGAGTGCGTACCCACTGGTGGCTTTCCTCCCCCTTCCCAAAGGTGGGTTTCCTCTTAGGAAAGTGCCCCTGATCCTAGAAGTACTGTCGCTCTTGCTGGGACGCCTGGATTGAAGACAGTTAATTGGTCAGAAGTAGTGAGTGCCTATGTGCTTTGCTGTCAGGGCATCAGAGGGCCCACAGGATGCCACGTTTATACAACCCCCGAGCAAGAGAGTCTCCAGACAACACGAGGGCCCGCAGACGCCCCATTCTTGGTGATGGTCAGATCCCACACAGCCTTGGGTCCTTTTCTTTTTGGGAAACTTTGGTGTGTGTGCAGAGGAAGGAACACGCACTTTGTCACTGCTCTGGTCGGAAGTCTCAGGGGCGGGGAGGGCGAGGCTGGCAGCCCTGTGCTCCTCTGCGACCAGGGCTGTGGCCACTGTTTACCTGGGCGGGGCTGGAGCTGACTCTGGGAGCCTCCTGGCTGCAGTGCGCAGCACCTCCAGAGGCAGAGCGCTCACCAGCGGGCTGCAGCTGGGCGAGCCCTGAGCCCTGGGGAGCTGAGAGCGCCCTGTGGCCTTGTGGGCTAGGTAGCCGCCTCCTGCTGCTCCATGTCCAGCTCCTCCCACGTACAACCCAGCAAGCCTGGTGCCACTTCCCATCTCCATGGTTTCCAGGTCTCTTCTCCAACTTTCCCAAATGCTGCCCRCCACCCCACCCAGCTCCTCCTGTCACCACTTCATGGGTGGGAACAGCTAGCCGAGAGGCTCTTCGGACCATCCTCTTGACTCATTGGAAGGGACCAAGCCTTTCCCCAAGATGGACTGTTCTTTGCCCTACACACCCCTCTCACCTGGCCTTGTCCCTCTCTGGAACTCATGACCCAGGAGCTGGCCTGTGCAGTGCCTGCCGCTCAGCAGCAGAACACCTCAGTCCTGGCCCCACTCTTCTCAGGAAGAGCTCAGTGACAGCTCTGTGCTCTTTCTGCTGTCCTGTCCCTGGCTTCTGGTGACCCCACGTGCCTGGGTCTCCTCCCAGTCCAGAGCTGCACCCCACATTGCCTTTCTGTCCCGTGCTCACTTACCTCCTAGGTTGGCCTAGCACTGTGCTGAACACGTGCACTCCTTGCCATCGGGGTGCATGGTGGCTTGGCAGTTAAGGCGTAGCTTGTGATGGCCCAATGTCCCAACTCAAGCAGCCCCTCAGACTCAGGACTCGGGCTGGGGAGGCTGGTGACTGCTGGGGGACTCTCTGTGGCCTCTGATTCTCTTTTGTGGGAGCCCGTGCATCAGGGTCGGCCACCCTCTGATCTTTGAGTGGCCTTTCTCTGGAGGAAACTATCCATGGTGGCTTTAATTGAAAATCTYCCTCGAGGGGTTCTTTGGCATAAAATTCAAGCCGCTTTTTCACTGAATGGGCTGAGGCASTTTGTTTGAGCACCTGAGGGTTGGTTTAAGCATGGCAGTTTGTTGTGACCCTGCTGGGACTCGGGGTGCTCCCTGAGGCTTGTGATAGGTCGCATCCCCGYGCAGGCTGTGAAGAGTCATACAGTGTCACTGTCGTCTGTGAGCCTTAACAGGCCATCCTCCTCTAAAGATGGTGGCATGGGTCAGAGTAGCTGCCACTTMAGTTGTTAGACTGTATGAAGAGACGGAAGAGGCCTAGAGGACGGGCTAGTGTCTGCAGGGCCTTGGCTCCCCTCCTGGGGGCCTCTAGGTCCATGAGTGCGCGCGTCTGGCCGTAGTGCCCCGTGGCCTGGGTGCCCTGTGGCCTGCTCTCCAGCCAGCACACCTGGAGGCTGGGTTGCACCAGCAGAGAGGTTGCAGCTGTGTACTCACCACTGAGCCCCGTCACAAGCTGCACCCCAGGGAGAACAGCAGAGTCGCCTGGGTTTTCCCAGCCTCTTCTTTTCCTCGCAGACCAACTCTGACGCTGGTCCAGGCGCCCCCTTTCTTGGGCCAGCCATGCTTGTCTGTGCTGGGGAATGGAGGGGAGCTCGAGATTGGAGGGTGGTCCTTGTCTGAGGCCCCCAGCCCCTCAGCTTGTGGATGGCCCAGTTGGCTCGCACCTGGGGAGCGTGTTCTCTGCAGGGCATGTCTGTGTCCATGAGGGGGTCTTTGGAAATTAGTATTACATAGTCCTCTTACCCCAGCTTTCACTTTTCAGTTTCAGTTACCCGTGGTCAACCACAGTTTAAAAAAAAAAAAAAAAAACTCAAGTGGAAAATTCCAGAAATAAACTTTTCATGGATTTTTAGTTGCACACTTTCCCAAGTCTTTCAAAGAACTTGCACCATAGCATGTTGTCCTGACCTGGACACGAGTTGTCCCTTTGTCCAGCATCCCCACACTGTGTGAGCTGTTTGGCCTGAGATCAGTTGGTAGTTGTGGGGGTATCAGGTCTATCTCCACACAGCGAGTGGCTCTGGCACCCGTGGGGAGCCTTGGGATATCTCGTGGCAGGTGAGGAGGGCCGCCCGAGGAGGAACTGCACAGGAGTCCGCTCCTCTCTCCCTCGGGTCCCAGTGGTCACGTGTTGGAAAGCGCYCCGCACCACGCGGATTCTGTAAGCATAGTGCTGCACACCAGTGTCAGCTGGAGATTGGCACAGACGTGACGGCTGATGGCACGATGAATATGCCACTGTCTGACTTTCCCATAGTGACTTCCAGTCTGCACCCCTGGGAGCTGGTGTGAGCTGCAGTTGCGGCATCCCCTCGCTCCTGTGGGTCATCCCTGTCACTCATAGCTGCAGGGAGCACCGGAGCAGTTAGACGGAGGAGTGGATGTCACACTTCTAATTTCATTCTTTTCAAGGGATTACTGATGTCCATTTAATAAAACGAGATTAACCTTGTGCTGCAGGAGTGTTTGAAAGATGTCAGTCAGTATAATCTTGACAGCTCAAAAGAAGTAGTGTTCTCGGCACTCTGAGAATACTGTCCTCTTTTATTGGCCACACAGCAGTGAGTGTGTCACCTCCTTTGAACAAGGAGAAATTCTGTGCCTCATCTATCTGTATGGAAATGAACGTTCAAGCAGCACCACAGAATCTGGCTTTGAGTCGCCAGATGTCTGTAATGAAATACCTAACAAGGCAGCAAAACAAAAGTGAGCGTTTAAAATACTTAAAAAAACCACTGAACGCCACCTTTCCTTGAATGTTTCAGGAAACCTCGCATCAACTCTCAGCTGGTGGCACAACAGGTGGCTCAGCAGTATGCCACTCCACCACCCCCGAAGAAGGAGAAGAAGGAGAAGGTGGAGAAGCAGGACAAGGAGAAGCCTGAGAAGGAGAAGGAGATCAGTCCTAGTGTCACCAAGAAGAACACCAACAAGAAAACCAAGTGAGTCGGGGTGGGGGGGTGCAGCTCCACTGGGGTTGCTCCCTGGGGTGCACACAGCTAACGCCCCGCCTCTTCCCCAGACCAAAGTCGGACATCCTGAAAGACCCTCCTAGCGAAGCCAACAGCATACAGTCTGCCAACGCCACGGCAAAGACCAGCGAAGCGAATCACACCTCGAGGTAGGCGGGGCCAGGGCCAGGCTCTGACCTTAGTCACAGTGCAGAGCCCAGGGCCGCCCTGGGGGTGGGCTGAGGAGCTGGGTGGGGACGGAGAGGAACAGGATTGTGATGGGCGGAGCTCCTCTGGCTGACAGCACCCGTGGTGGGTGGGTGGGTGGGTGGCAGGCAGCGGCAGTGGCCACTTTGGCATCCGTGACAGGCCCCTGGAGCCCTGGTGCCAGCAGGTCCTGGTGGGGTGACGCTCTGCTGGAAGCTGCTGTTAAACCACACCTTTTTTAACCGCTCTTCCCCCTGGCATTTCAGGCCCCGGCTGAAAAACGTGGACAGGAGCACCGCACAGCAGTTGGCAGTAACGGTGGGCAACGTCACCGTCATTATCACAGACTTTAAAGAAAAGACTCGCTCCTCTTCAACGTCCTCGTCCACAGTGACCTCCAGTGCAGGGTCAGAACAGCAGAACCAGAGCAGCTCGGGGTCAGAGAGCACAGACAAGGGCTCCTCCCGCTCCTCCACGCCAAAGGGCGACATGTCGGCAGTGCAGGACGAGTCCTTCTGAGGCCGCACGTGGGGCAGTGAGGACCTCGCATCAGGGTATASGATGCAGCCCGCCACCTGCCCGTGCGCCTGCGCCTGGAGTCTCTGTGGACGGCCACCGCCTCTCTGCAGGATGCTTCCTGCTCGCCACGGGCATCTGGCCACCCAGGAATTTCGCACCCTGACGGTTACTCGTGACACTTTTATGTATTCCATTGTTTTATATGATTTTCCTAACAATCATTTATAATTGGATGTGCTCCTGAATCTACTTTTTATATAAAAAAAAAATCTGCTGTGCACAATTTTCCATGTACATGACAACTGGTTTTTTGTTTTTGTTTTGTTGAGGGGGCGTTGGGAGGGGGGAGGGAACTTTTATTTATTGTGTTCACAACTCCATCCTTTCAGCATATCCTTTAAGTTTAGTTCTTTCTTCCAGTTATACTATGTACTATCAGTTTTGATATAACTATATATATATAAATATAAAATTATATATAAAGGGTTATTTGAAACCAATCCACGGCAGCGCTGGTGCTTGATACACTGTGAAGACAACATGGAACAGTGCAGATCTGGGACAGTCCCTTCCAGAAAGTGCTGAGACTGAGTCAYGGTCGGTCTCGCGTGGAGTGTGTCCCACCCACGTGGGAACCTGACGTCTCATCTAACAAGTCCTGACGATAGAAAGATTCTCTATTTTTTAAACAATGTGATCTCAGAGGTAAAGACTGCTCCAGATGGCCTTCATTGGCAGGGGTGATGACAAATCACAGGTGGTGCAGTGGGGGGCTGTCACCCAGGAGTACCTGAAGGAGCTCCAGAATGCCACGTGTTGGCGTAAGTCACGGCCACACGCTGACGCTGCTGTTCTGCACAAGCACCCGGCCTCACGGGCTCTCCCTGGGTCCACCCATCTTCCAGGCCCACCCTGGCCTCCACCTCCGGGGCCTGGCAGTGGGGGCTTTACAGTTGGACTTGGTTGCCTCACGTCCCCGTCACTCAGACCCTCGCCCTGCTGGTGCAGACGTGAGACTCCCTCCCTGTTCTTTCTTAAAACCTACTGTGGTTCATTCTCCTCCGCAAAGGTCACGGCCACACGAGAGGCCCCCAGCGGAGCCCGTGCTGGAGACCCGGCTCCATCCCCCAGGGCGGGGACTCTGGCGCTGAGTGGCCGAGGCGCAGGGTCGGGCCATGCTGCCTGCCCTGCGAGGGCCTCCCCTGGCCAGAGCGCGTGCTCCAGAGTTCTTTGTCCTCTCTTGACTGTCCTGGGGGGAGGAACAGCCACTCATCTGATCTAGCGACACCATCCTCCCTGATTCACGGCCTTTGCTTGCTTTGCTTTGCTTTTGTTTGGATTTGGGGGTCTCTCTTCTCCCCGACTTTCCCATTCACATCCACTGAGTTGGTAGTACACCAGAGTCATTTYGGGCGTGGGAACTTGATGTTAACCTTCCTTTATTTGATCTTGCTTTAAGGACTCACGGGAGGGTGTGTGATGTAATGAAGCACCACATTTTGGTGTTAAGAACCTGGTTTCCTTAATAATAGAACTAATTTCTATCTGGAGGCAACAAGTAAAAGGAAAAAAAAATTTAACAGCTTGAATTGAGTAGCCAGCAGGAAAGGTTCCTCTCACATTTACATTAAAACGATGCTGTAGTCACCAATGTACCATAATTTAAATTTTGTCCTCAAAGGTATAGATTATAAAGCAGTGCCATTCGTTGCTGTGGTCCTATTCTCAAATGCATGGACAATGTTCCCTTCTTTTTAAAATAATGCTTGTATCTGGGATGCAAGCTGTGCTTATCTTTTTAAATACCTTTTTAAAGTATTTATTAATGAACCAAAGGAAATCAGGTGCTTTCTATAAGCATCAGAATATATAATACATAGTGATTTGACTATGAATTTTAAATCCACGTTTTAATATTAGTGGGATATTGCAAAGACATTCCTTCTAAAAAGTTTTAATATTCCTTTTATTACGGGTCTCAGGGAGGGTAAATTAGTCAGCCATATTTATTTTCCAGAGGTGTAAGGAATTGCTAAGTTTTTTAATTAACTTTTTTAAAAAAATTAAATGCCACCAAACTCGTGGGTTGCACTGCTTTTGGAACCAGTCAGTGTTGGCATGCACTTTGTTCACGAACACTGTGTGCTTTCGCAAATCAGTTTCATGTAAAGTGATTGGACCCCTAATGAGTGGAAAAGCTGACGATCCAGCTACTCAGAGGCTGCTCAGTGATCCATCGCCAGTGTCTTGGTTTTTTGGTTTTGCCTCCGTGATCAATTAAAGAATGGGGAGAGGTGAAGGAAGGCGGGGGGTTGGCTTTAGGAGGAGTGGGCCCAGCTTGCCATTGGGGCAAGACGGAAGGGTGGGTTGTCCAAGCACCAGACGTCACAGGACCAGCCCGAAGCTGCCGCGTGTCTGGGGCAGCAAGGTGGTGGGTACCCCAGACCTTGAATTTCCAAAATTGGTGACATCCCTCAGGCATGATCTCTGGAAATGGGATTCCTCCCACTTCCCGMGGCTGCGGCCCGCCCTGCGGTTCCTAGGCAGTGCGTCCGAACACTAGCTAGCGTAGGTGATGAGGATGTACCTTGAAGGGACCAGAAACACTCGGTATTCAGTGGCACAGAAAGCAGGTGAAAAATCAAAACAAAAAGCACAGTGTTAACGCAAGTTTCCCTTTGTTTGGACACCACACGGTCTCCCACGATCTCCCTCKCGGGCGGCAGCTGACCTGTCCGCTCTGCTTGCGTCGCGCAGTTAAGACAGAGGTCAAGACCTCCGACTCCCACTAACTATTTGAACCCAAACCTTTCCGTTCCAATCTGGATATTCAAACACAACGTCGGCAGGAGCTTCTGTGAGTCCTTCCATACGATGTTCCACCTGCCTTACCGAGACCATTCTCAGTCTACTTTTTTAAGCTACCGTATCTTAAATTATTGAAAGTTTATTAATTGCTGAATATATAATAACCTTTGCTTGTATGTAACCGAAAATGGTGTAAGAGCCGACATTTAGAGTTGGACGATGGAGCCGGACAGTTTCTAATGCGCAAGCAGTTCTGTTCTTGTGTATGACTCGTAACCTTAATTTACTGTGTAAAGATGGTTACATTATTTCCTTAGCTTTGTTTGTTGGAGACAAATAGAGAATGCTTGTTAAGTATGTCAAAACATAATCTTACCTTGTGAATTTTTGTTCATGTATTATACGAGCTCTATTTTCCATTTGCCCAGAAAGACAGCTTGTATAACGCTTTTGGAAGTTTCTGCTCTGTAAGGTCTCTAGAGCTGACGGTCTGTTAGGTTTGTTTTCTCTTCATGCTAAAGTGTCAGTTGGTGGTTTTGTGAACTGGTCAGAAATTCACAGGTCTTAAATGTTTTGGGGAAATTTATATTGGACACTGCTCTTTGTCTAGCAAATAAAAGATGTTAATATATTCCTGTTACTGGCATGTGCACGACTATGTTATTAGAAGCCACTTTATCATTTTCCTGCTTTAAATAGAAATGTCTATTTATGAATTCTGCTTGTAGTTTTTTCACAAATAAAATAGTAAAAATTTACATCGGAAATCTTTATTTTTGTGTCGTGCAGAGCGCCTGCCCTTAGGAGATCGGCTCCCCTCTGCCCCTACGGGGTGAGCCCGGGCAGGATCGCCAGGGCCAGGGCCAGTGCCTCTGAGACGCAGGTGAAAATGCAGCTGAGCTGGGAAATGTGGAAGAAAGGGTGTCCAGCCCCAGGGGATGGGGTGGACGGGGTCACCGGCTGCTGCCCTGTTGGTTCCATTTCAGTACTGGGGATCGAACCCAGGGGCGCCTAACCACTCACTGACCCATGTCCCCAGCCCTTTATTTTTTTTGAGACGGCGTGAGTTACCCAGGACCCCGCTAAATCTCTTGAAGCTGGCTTTGGAACTTGCAGTCCTCCTTCCCCAGCCTCTGGAGCTGGGATTATAGATGTGTGCCACCACTGTGCCCACCTGGGGACCCTGATGGGGATTCCTGAGTGGCAGAGGTTCTGTTGGAAGGAAACCTTACAAGCRCTCTCCTGCCAGCTTTAGATGAGAGGTGATCTGTAAGCCCTCCCCTCGCTTTCCTGCCAGAGGCTGGCCTGGCACCAGTGCTGGACCCCCATGGTGCAGGTGTGCCTCTTAGGAGAGGGCCGGCTCCTTGGGCTTCTGGTCTAGTGCTCCAGCGTTGAGGGCCAGCGTCCAGGCCCCTGCTGAGGTGTGGGGCCAGGTGACATGGTCAGAAAGACCTGGCTGAAGCCACGCTGACTAAAGATAGACCCCTCTCCAGCTGCGGTGTGCATGGGCCGGTGCCAACCATCTGCTGCCACGGTCCTGTGAGTTGGCCACCTCTGCTGGGGCAGGAGGCAGGGTCAGCGTCAGGCCCTGGGCTTCTTGCCCTGACCTCTCAGCAGTAGTGCAGAGAGAGCCGCTCAGAGCCTTGAGGTGGTGTCCAGGTGGAGTTGGAGCTGCCCTGTGGGACTGGAGGTGGAGCACATCCACTGGTGGTTGGAGGGAGATGTGTTGCCCAGCTGGGCACTGCAGGGAAGGCCCCGACTTCCCAGAAAGGACACAGGATGGTCAGAAACGGGAGGGGGCTGGGGCTGGGCAGACCTGGGTCAGGGGGACTGCAGGGGTGGTGTGGGCCGGGCTGGGCACAGGAAGGCAGCCAGCCCCTGAGCATGTCCCTGGCCCCAGCCATGCTCCAGGGCTGCCCCAGTACAGTGCACAGGGTGGCTGTGGTGTGTGCAGGGGGGAGGGGGCGGGACAAACGGCCCTCCCTGCAGGCAGGGACTGGTGAGCTGGACCTGCAAGGCCAGTAAGTGGCATAAAACGTCCACCCGTGGGCCCTGTCCACCCTCGGGCTTGTGCCCAGCATCACGGAGCAGAGTGCTCCCTTCCAGCCGAGTCCAGACTTGCCCCCGCCCCTGCCACAGGTTAGCCATTCCTGCCCTGGAAGAACCCACCCGAACAGCGGGGGCCCGTGAGGAATCTGGGAATGCAGTCCTCSGTCATGGACACTGGAAACCAGGGGCCCCTGGAGACCTCAGGGGAGTCAAGTCACTCTCAAGAGCTCAGCTTCCTGTCCAGAGCAAGGCCAGGGTGGAGGGGCCTCCGTCCAGTACTGGCTGGAAGGGCAGTCCCCAGCCCCAGACCCCAAGGCCCTGTGGACAAGGCCCTGCCCAGGCTGTCCCCCCGCTCTGTTGGCCCCAGAAGTCACCACAGGACACAGAGGGATGTTGTTCAG